CCCCCCCCCCCCCAAAGATCCTTGAGAAGAAGGATGGCTTGTTCCGAAAGCACATGATGGGAAAGCGAGTAGACTACGCGGCCCGTTCTGTCATCTGCCCAGACATGTACATCAACACCAACGAAATCGGAATCCCCATGGTGTGTGCGGAGGGGCTGCTTTTGCTAGTGTTGGGTGGCAGGTGGGAGTGTCGAGGAGGGCTGGGGAGAAGGTGTGTGGCAGGTTATGGTGACTTGGGTGGGGACAGCTTCTCCCTCTTCCTGGTTAAGTCGTTTGGAGGGGATGTGAAGCTGCGTGATGGCATTGCTCTCACTCCGTGCCAGGTCTCCAAATACCTTCTACCTCTGAGGAAGACCCACTTCCTGGGCCAGCAGGGAGCTCACTGCAGGGTATTCTGTGTCCCCACCCACGTATCTTCTTTCTGCCTGTCTTGGCCTAGTCTTTACATTCTCCTAGTCAACCTGGCTGAATGACAGAGATGAGCCAGAGGAAAGGGAGATTTCATCCCAGCACTCGCCTGGTGTCGGGAGTCGGGGGTGTGTACCCCGGTTGCCAGGGAGAGGGAGGAGAGTGCCAGAGAAGATGTGTATGAGTCCGTCCTCCCACTTCCTCTGGGTAAGCGGTTCGCCCCATTCGCCCATTAGTGTTTCCTTGGGGAGCCAGCCTCCTTTTTTCACTTCCCCATCAGTTCAAGCTGTGGTGCTCATTAGCAGTAGCCCTTTAATCGCTTCCTCCTTAATGGGTCTTGAGGTCAGTAATAGGAGATAGTTTAATTCCCTCCGTGGAGAGTGTCATTTCCTCACATACTGCCCCTCTGCTGCTCTCTGGGGAGTGCTGGAAATGAGCACAGCTTAGCTGTTCTGATGGCCACCTGGGTGCCCACTGCCTCCTCTCTCTCAGGCGCACTTGGAGTTCCTCAGCCAGGACATGACAAACAAGGGAACAAGATTCAGAGAACACTCAGTCCTATGCCCAGCACCTCTGGGAACGTTAGGTCTTTGTATCCGGAAGCTGGTCAGGTGGCAGGAATGTCATCATGAAGCCAGTAGTGATACTCGTGAGTCTACAGCCCTGAAGGAGAGGCTCATGCCTTTTTGTTGCTTTCTCTGGGCAGAGGGCAGGGGTTAACCCTGTTGGCTTTGGCCTCATGGTGCCTAGAGTGTCCCCAGCTTTGGGAGAGACTTAGTCCCGCCTTCCCTTTCCACTTTCAGTGGTGCCAGGCCTCTCTTGGATTGGATCTGGGTTCGTTTGGTAATGGCTTGTTCCTTTAGGGGGACTCTGAAGTTACCCCTCAGCCCACCTCCAACCTTCCCCAGGTCTCGGCCATGGTGGCCCAGGGTTGTGTGTCACATGCTTCCCCTAGAGCCTGTGGGATAGGTGTTATAGGAGCAAAGGAGGTGAAATACATTTGTAGAATAAGCTAGAGACTCAGCAGTGAACTACATAGACTAGAATGTCCCCCGTGAAACTTCCATGCCGGTGGTGGAGACACAAACAAATACACAGGAACATAAACACTCAGGCAGTGGTCAGTGCATCAGCGAAAGTCGAACAGGCTACAGGGAAGGGAGCGCAGGGTGGGGTAGTGAGAAGTCCTCTCACAAGGGCCTTGGAGCAGAGAACTGATCAAAATTGAACAACGTCCTTTAGGTATTCTCACTTTGATGTATTTATGTGCACATAGAAACATCAAAGAGTTTATAATATTAAGTAGCTCAGAAACTCACTTAAGCAGGGAACTTGTTTTCCTTGGAGTGGACTGTTGCAGGTCTCGATCAGTGGGGTGCTGCATTTTCTCGTGTCTTGGGGGGCTGTCGGTTTCAGGGGCCACCTTGATTGCAGTGGCTGCTGGAACTGCCAAGTAAAGAGATTCTGATGCCATGTTTGGGCCCAGGGCAAGGGCCTCGATCAGTGATGCCTGCTGGGGTATGGTGGTACTTGAGGTAGGCACTCGCCACCTCTCTCAAGCTAGTGGCCCATTCTGTGTTCCCTTTGGGCCCATAAATTTACTGGCAGATGAGGAAAAGATGGTTTTAGAATGGGTAAAAAATTTCTAACGTGTAAATGGCAATACTCAGATCATTTTCTTCAGACAGACTGTTCGGAAAGGAGGCCTTGAAATGAAGACATGGCCTGTGGAGGAGATAGGCAGGATGCCGCTTTCCTCCCTGAGGACCTTTTTGGCTAAGACAGCACCTGCACATCTTCAGGAAAAAGACACATCTTGTTGAGTCTGACTTTGGGTCCATGTAACCTTTTTTGCCCACCCTGAGTTTTTATATCCACTCCTCATTTTCAGGTGTTTGCCACAAAACTGACCTACCCTCAGCCAGTTACCCCCTGGAACGTTCAGGAACTGAGGCAGGCGGTCATCAACGGCCCCAATGTGCACCCAGGGGCCTCCATGGTCATCAACGAGGATGGCAGTCGCACAGCCTTGAGCGCTGTGGACTTAAGCCAACGGGAAGCCGTGGCCAAACAGCTCCTGACACCAGCCACGGGGGCACCGAAGCCCCAGGGGACAAAAATTGTGAGTAGTGGGCAGGTTTGATCAGTGAGTGCTGGCTCCAGTGAGTGCCGTGGCTATGGGGTTGCTGTGGAATACTGTGTGAGCAGCTTCTGCCTCCCCGAGATGAAGCTGCTCTCACATGTGGCTGTTCCTTAGCAGGTTTCATGGTGCTTACTCTCTCCCAGCTGGAGCTGGGGCCCTGACACCATAATTAAAGCTTCATTTGGCTGTCTCACACCATGCAGCACAGTGCTGGTCACACATCAGAGGTTCGAGAAAGGCTCTAATCATAACTCAAGTGTGGTCCTGGGGCAGGAGAATTTGCTATCCTTGACCCAGGAGAGAAGTTTGAACAAAGGGAAAGGAGCCAGGTGTCAGAGCCTTTGTGAGGCAGTGAAGGCAGCAGCTTAGGGCTTTTGAAAGAAAAAGTAGCAGGATATAGGGGTTTCTGATGTTACTGGGGTGTGAGGACAAGGCTGCTGTGCAGGAGAACTTCACATGGCCTCAGCTACAATCACAGGGTCGGAGGTGAGCAGGCTGGGAGCTTAGGGAGGGAGGTTGGCCTCACCGCCACACATTGGTGAGTCCATGGGAAGTCACGGAAATGAGTTCTGAGTGGCAGTGAGGTTGTAGGAGGTCAGCCCTCCTGGAGCTTGCTTGTCTTCCTACTGGAGCTCAGATCCTGAGCACATTGTCCTGCTCTCTCCTCCAGGCTTACCTCAGATCGCCCGTCACTCTCCCGCCATCCCATCAGTGCAAGGCCTTCTCCCCTTCAGGCCTTGTGTTTGTTGTCCCCTGCCTGGAACACTCTGCCCTCCCCCACACTCCATGCTAACTCTTACTAACCCTTCAGGTCTCAGCAAGGTCCTCACTCTAGGGCAGGGTCCACAAACCTTTTCAGCAAAGGGCCCAATAGTAAATATTTTAGGCTTTGGAGACCATACAGTCTGTTGAACCAACTCAACCCTGTTGAAGTGTGAAAGCCACCACAGGTGGCACATAAACGGGTGTGGCTGTGTTCTCAAAAAACCTCTACTTACAAAAACAGGCGGCTTGCCTTCAGACTGTACTTTGTCCTTCTCAAAACTTGTATGGCCCTGGCCAGTTTGACTTAGTGGTTAGAGTGTCGACCCACAGACTGACGGGTCCCGGGTTTGATTGTGGCCAAGGGCATGTGCGGGAGTCAAGCAATCTATGTGTCTCTCTCACATCAGTGTTTCTCTCTCCCTTCTACTATCTGAAAAGCAATGGAAATAATATCCTCAGGTAAGGATTAAAAAAACAAAACAAGCAAAAAAAACTTGTATGGGGTCATGCTACACCCTCATTCTCCCATGGCTCTCACTGTGTAGTGTTGTCACTGTGTGTGCACCCATTTATCTGCCCTCAAGTTCCTAAATTCCATAAGGACTCAGGAAACCCCTGTGGAAGGGATGGGTGGATCCAGGTTGAGGTTCAGGAGGCTCTGAGGCTCAAGGAACCACATTGGACCTGATGATGTGGCCCAGGGGCAAAGGCAGGAGGGGACTTTATGAAAGAAAAGTGGTTCTTACATCGGGACCCGGGAACTCAGGATGATTATCTTTATTCTCCAAAATCTCAGTAGTGTTATATATAATACATGTACATTTCATCAAATACACGTTCATTTATCATTTACCTGTAATTAGGAAAGGCTTTGGTTAATGGCGTGTGTATGGGTCAGGACCAGGCTAAAGGACTGGGTGAAGTGACAGGCCCAGGTGAGGATGAGAGGGGTTAAGAGAGAAGGGAAAGGACAACTGGAAGACCTGTTTCCTAGGAGGTGTGAAGTCTCTGCTCCTTCCCGTGGGCCTTGTAAATGGAGGAGGAAGTGGCCAGGATGGCTGAGTCTCATTTCTCAGCCCAGCAGTCTGCCAGAAGCTGACTTTGGCTCTGGGTCTGCCTCCGAAAGCCTTAACCCGGGCACTGGGGCACACTAATTTTCACTGCAGTATTTATTTAGAGACAGGAGAAAGGAAGGGCTCAGGTTTGGGTTGGCCAGGGGAACACCCTGTGCTCCAGGGCTTCTGTTTGGATTGGCCGGTGCCTGCCAGTCTGGCCTGCATGCCTTCCCAGCTGTGGGCTTTGCTTATACTGAAGGATGTGTTAAATCTGTGAGACTCAGATCTGAGGCTTAGCCTGGGGTTTTGGGCCTAGGCTACAGGTCCAGCAGTTTCTCCCTTGAGAGCCTGAAGAAATATGACCTTGAAAGTCAGCTCAGGCTCTGAGACATGCCCTGGGTGGATGCTCATGGGAATTCTCAGAATCCACGTCTCCTTGGAAACGTGGATATGGGGCAGGGATGTGAAGTTTGGGATTCCTCCAGGAGCAGAAAGACTGACTCTGCGCCAGGTGCTCTTGGGCCTGCCTTTTGGGATGTGAGGGGTTTGCCCCCTGCTTCCCTGAGCTGGAGGAAGCTTTCAGCCCAGGGGAGGAGGAATCTGGGGAGGGAGGTGGGGAGCACCTCTTAGTAACCTCTAGCCTCTCTTTCTCCAGCCTTCTGATACAGCTGCTTAAATGTGGACGACATAAGAATATACTGCCCATGTCATACTTTGTTGCCCCCCAGCCTGTTGTCTGCTGGGATTTAGAGGAGACTTGGAGTAGGGGGAGGTCTCACGCAGTCTCCATGATTCCCTGGGCTGCTTAGGGGACATGCAGATTAATTGGAGTAACAGTTGCCTTTATACATTTGTTTTTTAAAAGGATTGTTTATATTCATCATTTAGGAAGCCTGCTAGTTAATATAAGATAGAAGGCAGTGAAAGGCTTAATGAGTCTAATATTAAAGGCAGCTTGGTGAGGGGAGGTGTTCTGTCAGGAGGACATGACCAATGACATACCAGTAAGGGGGAAAAAGTGTGAGTGCTGGTTATTTTTAAGAGGTGAAATTACTTGTGGTTTTTATTCTCTTTAAATTTGTCTGTTCTCTGTTTTCCCCCCACAATGAACATATCACTTGTGCAATAGTTCTTGCTTTCTTTAAAAATAGTTGATCTTTTTAGAAAGTTTTATAGAGGTAAATACATGCTCATTGTAACAGGAACAATACTAAGATGCATAGAAGTAGTAATAATAATGTAATGATAGTCTGTGCCTTCCCTTCCCTTCCCCATGTGCCCTTGTCCCTGAGGAGACCATAGTGACAGCTTGGGGAGACCCAAGCATCCTTTTCCTTGATGTATATAAACACATACAGGGTTGAGTTGGGTTTTAAATTGCCTGATTCTATCACTGTAGGTGGCACCTGGGTATTATTTTTACTGGAATACATTATTACCATCACTTTATTTATTTATTTTTTATTGCCATCACTTCAGGACTGATATAGATTTAACTCAGCCTTTTCTATCACTGCATAATATCCCTTAGTGCAACCCATAATTTATTTGTCTGTGCCCCTTCTGTGGGGCAGCCAGATTATTTCCAGTTTTTGCCACTGTAAACAGAGCTACGTAGACATAATGTTTACCTAACCTTGCATTGCATTCTTTTTCTTCTGAAAGGCCAAAAGCAAATGAGTTTTAAATATTCTAGAATCGGTTTTCAGATTGCTTTCCCTAAGACTATGGTGACTTAAACTGTTTATTAATTTTCTGAGTGTAATGAAATGTTTTCAGAGGGCCTGGAACCAGGAACCAAGAACCCTGTGTTCCATTCCTGGCTCTGGTATGAGGTTGGGCAAGGTATTTCTAAGATGCAGAATTTAGACTTAGAATAACATACTCACCTATGAATGTTGGAGGTGGGGGTTGCTAGAGGTCTGCTAAATCTTTCAAGCCCAGGGCTTTTACGATTACATCCAGATATGCTGTCTTTGGATGTGTTCATTTCTTCCTTTAGATTAATTCTCTGAGGAATTCAAGACTCCAGAAAGGCCATGCATCTCCGAAGGAGACAGAGATTACTGGACAGAGGCCTGGAGACTTGTCTGTTGCTTGTACCTCTGAGCCCAGAGCCTGGATGGGGTTATACTGGACTAGTAGCTATTTCTCAAAGTACCAGAGGGCTTAATAGCTATTTCTCAAAGATTTTTAGAGTTTTTCTCCAGACTAAAAATTCCCCTTTTATTTAGTTGAATAAAGCATGAGAGAGAGAAGTCACACTCGGCCAGGCTGAGGTGAGCTCCTGGAATAGTAGTAATGATGCTGGGGTTGCTGATGATCACCCCTCTGTTCTACATTCTGCCCCCAGGTGTGCCGGCATGTGAAGAATGGTGACATTCTTCTACTGAACCGCCAGCCTACCTTGCACAGACCTTCCATCCAGGCGCACCATGCCCGCATCCTGCCTGAAGAGAAAGTCCTTCGGCTCCACTATGCCAACTGCAAGGCCTATAACGCTGACTTTGATGGAGACGAGATGAACGCCCACTTCCCCCAGAGTGAACTGGGCCGAGCTGAGGCCTATGTCCTGGCCTGCACGGATCAGCAGTACCTTGTTCCCAAGGTAGGTCTGACCTTGAGGCTGGTCCACAGTCATCACTGGCACAACTTGGCACTTTAGATTTGGACTCTCTCTAGCTCCTGGGGTCAGGGGGCAGCTCCAGGGCAGAAGCTGTGGATCCACAGGGCCCTGGTTTCTTCCAGGTGGGGTTTTTGGTTTGCTTAGAGCCAGGGAAAGGTTTCTGTTTTGCTGCTGCAGACTTATGTTTTGATTCTACAGCTTATTACCCTCTGCAAGGATTAGCATCCCAACTATGTTGGTCCCCATGGTTCTCAGATGACTTTGATCCTTTGAATTCTGATATGCATGAGTTTCAAGAGACAACTTAACTCCAAGGGCCCAAATGAGATCCTCCTCCAGGCCACGAAGGCATCTCCTCTTTGAATCCCTTCCTTCTCTCTGAGGTTGGTCCTCAGAGGCAGACCCATGTGGTCATGGCTGTCTACAGGAGCACCTAGGAAAGATGTAGCTTCCTTCTCCCTGGCCTGGCCAGACGACCCATTCCCATTAAGTGGCAGGGGCTGTCATTGTGCTCATGGGAGAAAGAGTGTCCCGCATTACCCCTCACCCAAAGACCTGAGGCCTTTTAAATTATAAGCCGTTTCGCCCTAGCCAGTTTGGCTCTGTGGTTAGAGCGTTGGCCTGCAGACTAAAGGGTCCCGGGTTCGAGTCTGGTCTCGGTTGTAGGCTTGATCCCTGGCCCCAGTCGGGGCGCATGCAGAAGGCAATCTGTAAAGCAATGGAAAGATATCCTCAGGTGAGGATTAAAAATACGTATACATAAGCCATTTGCATCATAGTGATTCATAATAATATGTCATTCACTTGGGTGGAAGAGTATGAAAGAAGTAGTAGTAATAGTAGTACAGAATTGTGGGTACCATTTCCAAGCACGTTTTCAGTGCCAGACACTGCAAAGCACTTAGGAAGCTTCTTTTACCCTCCCCTCCTGGCAGAGGGTGGAGTAGGTGCTATTGATGCCCACATTTACACATGAAAAGTGGTGCAGCTTGCCCCTGGACACACAGCTGAGAAGCTGGAGGAAGGACTGGAAGCTTCCAGATCCTCTGGGGTTTTATTCTTATCCCCTCGGTGGGCCCTGCCATCCTTCTGTGGAAGAGATGGAGACCTTTGCAGTTAGGGATCGCTGGAGGCTGCTCAGAGACTTCCAGCATCGATTAGTGCCCTCTCCTGGGAACGTCTGTTTCCCCACCAATCATCTGCCTCCCTGGGAATAACATCCCAGCTTCTCCCACCAGACACACAACAGTAGCTTCCTAGTGGACCCAAATGTTGCCCACCTTAGTCAGCTGTTGATTAGGGAAGGGCCTGAAAGTAGGAAGGAGGAGGTAGGGCCCACTCAGGTCACTCAGAAATTAGAAGAAATAATTTGACTGACTTTTACTACTAATTAGAAGAAATACTTGGAATAATTTCATTAATTTGAAAATTGGCTTTTTGCCTTTTCATGTAAATATTAATGGTCATAGCTGTAGTAGTGGTGGCAATAAAAGCTCATCTATTGAGCACTCCCTGTTCATCAGGCACTGCTGAAGCAATTTGTAAACATCCTCTTATTTAGTCCTCACAACTGCCTTACGAGGCAGGTGCAATTTTCATATGAGGAAGCACAAGTGAGTAACTTGCCAGCCAGCAGTGAAGCCAGGACTTGAACTCAAGCCCGTGTTCAGCCCCCTTGACAGCAAGGCTGAGGCTCAGTGAGGACACATTGGAGGAAGAGGCTCCCAGGTTTGAGATTGCTCTCTGACTCTAGAACAGTGTCACATTGCACCACAGGACACTACCAGAGAGCAGCAAATGGGTCAGTTTTGAAACGTCAATGATGAGAGAGTCATTGATCGAGCCCACAACCTGGGCATGTGCCCTGACCAGGAGTCGAACCCCGATCGCCTGGATCCTAGGTCGACTCACCCGCTGAGCCACGCCCAGCCAGGCCATGCTTTTTTTTAAATTTATTATTGTTTTCAATTCTCACCAGAGAGTATTTTTTCCGTTGCTTTTCAGAGAGAGAGAGAGAAACATCGATGTGAGAGAGACACATTGATTGGTTGCCTTCCACACAAGCCCCAACTGGGGCCTAGGGTCAGACCTGCAATCAAGGTATGTGCCCTTGGGTGGAATTGAACCAGGGACCGTTCAGTCCATGGGCTGATGCTCTAACCACTAAGCCAAACTGGCTAGGGCAAGATTTCATTCTTTTTTATGGCCAAGTAATTCCATTTTATATATGTACCACAATTTTTTTATCCACTTGTCTATTGATAGGCACTTGGATTGCTTCATATCTTGGTTATTGTAAATAACACTGCGATGAACATAGGAGTGCATATATTCTTTTGCATTAGTTCCGTGTTTCTTCAAATAAATTCTAGAAGTGGAATTGGTGGGTCATAAGGCAGTTTACTTTTTAATTTTTAGGAACCTCCATATTGTTTTCCATAGCAGCTGCATCAATTTGAATTCCCACCAGCATGCACGAGGGTTTCCTTTTCTCCACATCCTCAACACTTGTTGTTAATTTATTAATGATAGCCATTCTGGCAGGCATGAGGTGATATCTCATTTTGATTTTAATTTGCATTTCTCTGATGATTAGTGACATTGAGCATCTTTTTATATGTCTGTTAGCCATCTGTATGTCTTCTTTGGAGAAATATCTATTCAGATACTCTGCCCATTTTATGATTGGATTGTTTGTATTTTTGTTGTTGAGTTTTCTGAGTTCTTATAAATTTTGGAAATAAACCCCTTCTCAGATGTAGCATTGATGAATATGTTCTTCCATTCAGTGGGTTGTCTTTTCATTTTGTTGATAGTTTCCTTTGCTGTACAAAAACTTTTTAGTTTGATGTGGTTACATTTGTTTATTTTTTCTTTTTTTTCCTTTGCCCAAGGAGGCATATCAGAAAAAAACGTCAAAGAGTTTTCTTCTAGGAACTTTATGGTTTTGAGCCTTAGACTTAAGTATTTAATCCATTTTTAGTTTATTCTTACATATGGTATAAGAAAGTGGTCTAGTTTCATTTTTGCATGTATCTATCCAATTTTTCCAGCGCCATTTATTGAATATACTGTCTTAACTCCATTGTATATTCTTGCCTGCTTTATCATAGATTAATTGACCATATACCTATGGGTTTATTTCTGCACTCTTTTTCTTCAATTTTCTTCAATTTATTCCTTAGTGTCTTACAGTTTTCTGAGTACAGGTCTTTTACGTCCTTGGTTAAGTTTATTTCTAGGTATTTTATTTTTTTGATGCAATTGTAAGTGGGATTCATTTTTGGTGTATAAAAATGCAACCAGTTTCTGATCCTGCTACTTTACTGAATTCATTTATCAGTTCTAGTGGTTTTTTAGTGGAATTTTTAGAGTTCTCTATAGTATCATGTCATCTAAAATAAAGACAGTGTTACTTCTTCCTTTCCAGTTTGGATGCCTTTTCTTTCTTTTTTTGTCTAAGTGCTATGGCTGGTACTTCCAGTACCGTGCTGATTAAGAGTGTTGAAAGTTGACATCCCTGTTCCTGGTGTTAAGAAAAACACTTTTATTTTATCCTGGTTGAGTATGGTGTTAGCTGTGGGTTTGTCATATATGGCCTTTATTGTGTTGTAAAGTCACTACAGTTTTTACTCACCCCCTCCACGTTTATGTTTTTGTCATTATTTTTTACTAGTTTTGTGTGTGTGTGTGTTCCTTAACTTATTGTAATTACACATGCTTTTCCTACTTTTGTCTTTCAACCTTTATAATAGCTTTATAGTTGTTTAATAAATTAATTTCTTAACAAATAAAAAGTGGAAAGCTTCTAGGGAGTGATCTGAGGATTCACTTTACTTTTTTTTAGTCAGTATCTTTTGTCTTAGGTAAAGAGCTTTTGAGTCTTGATACATTTTATTTAGTCCTTAGTGTAAATACCAAGGGGTAGAATCCTTATTTTTACTAATGGTTATAAAAATGCAACATGTCTTGAGGTATTTTGGTGGCAATATTCTAAGAGGATAAGTTGTTTTTTTTAAACTAGGAAAGCCATATTTTTCTAATGTTTTAGATATTTTTTTTCTGTTTCCATTTCGCTGTTCATTTTTCCATTTCTTTGACATTTTCAGGTGTTCTTCCTTAGCTAACCATAGTATACAATTAAAGTATTTCTTTTATTGTTGTTTGTAAGTATTTAATAGAGTTGTGTATTATCTTTTTATTTAAAATAGGAGATGAATGGAACTTTATTTCTTTTCAGAAAACAGTTAAACTTTTTATTTATGTTTTTCTTTGTGGATTAAATTTTTTAAAACTTATTGAGGGCCAGTGCTTTGTGGAAATTATTTTTAACAAGGCTTGAGAATAGTTTTCTTACTTCTACTTAGTCAGCTAGAAGGTTCAAGTCATAGAAAACCCTAATTCTGTAAGCATCCTGACCAAAGACATTAATTGCAGTATCATTTTGCTGTGATATTAAGTGGAATAGAATAGCTGACAATTATCTGGGTTTTTGATTTAGAGATGGTCTTTTTGATCCTAAGCAGGATTTGGGAAATTCAGAATCATAAGTTGACCCTTAGTAAATTGCTTTAATCAGCATTCCTTCCTAGAATTTATGATTATTGCATTGAAAGCAATTTAGCCATTAAGGTGATTTTCTAGTCATGTAGAAATCTGGACAGAGAGAAGAGAAAGCATGAAATAGATCATATAACTTATAATTATGTTCTTTAAAAGAAGAAAACAAAAGGAAAAATCTATATATGCCTCCAAAGATTGAGGGATGAGTCAGATGCTTAATGCTGGTTTGGGTTTTCCCCCAAGCAAAATAAGACCATGTCTTTGGAACAAGATACAGAGTATAATTTTTTTCTTTAATCTTCACTGAGGATATGTTTATTGATTTTAGAGGAAGGGAGAGAAAGAAAACATTGATGTGAAGGAGAAACATCCATTGGTTGCTTCCCGTATGCATCCCAGTCCAACCCGCAACCTAGGTGTGTATCCTGATCGGGACCCAAACCCATAGTCTTTTGGTGTACGGGACGATGGTCTAACACTGAGCCACCTGGCCAGGGTCGGAATATAATTTTTATTGAAATTGGTAACTCAAAGCCTTCATGAGAAGGGCTATATGCTCTCTTTGATCTTTCCTTGCATCTACACCATCTATCCAGCCATTTGTAATAGTTTTGAGCTTATATAGAGCCATTGTCATAGTATTTAGACTATTTGGCAAGTACCCTTTTTAGCTTTTGAATTAGTACGTGTGGTTTAATTCCTGCTGCTTTTCCAAGGCTGCATTTGTGAGTTCCTTTAGGCCTAGTTATGAAATATGGCCATAATATTGGGTAGTATTTGATTATTTAATCAAATGCTAACAATCTTCAGATTTTTCTCAAGTTCCTGTAAACTTTGAAAAATGAGCAAAAACTACTTCTCAGAGAATGTCAGTGAGCACAGTTATTTTTACGTTAGTGTGCCTTGTGTCACCATGAACACAGACCTGCAGATAGGGTTCAGGAGACTAAGGATCAAAAAACTGTGACAAGCGCCAAATGAGATGAATGTACCCATCAAAACTGGGGCTAAAAGCCCTTGTTTGGACATCTGGTAGGTAACAAACAGCCTTTTTAAGGGCCAGACACTCATAATGGACATTCTTTCCTTCTGCAGTCATACATGTCAAGGCCCTCTCCTGACCCTCTCAGGAGCCTTGGCCTGAAGCCCTGCCTCCCTGCACTGCTGACTCCCCCAAGTTACTCTCAGGCCTCACTGTAATACTGCCCCTTAGACCATTCCTGACCATCCCTCTGCATCAGATCTATATGATGATCCATTCTGTTATTTTCCTCCATGTCATTTAAAATTCTTTGTGTTGAGCCCTGGGCGGTGTGGCTCACTTGGTTGAATGTAGTCTGGTGCACTGACAGGTCACTGGTTCAGTTCCTGGTTAGGACACAAGCCTGGGTTTCAGGCTTGATCCCTAGTAGGAGGTGTGCAGGAGGCAGCTGGTTGACGTTCTCTCTCTCCCCCCCCCCC